CACGGCCAACATGATGACACCGATACGCCTGCCCTTGATAGACTTCTGTGCTACGCAGCCTGGGGCAGCATGGCCTAGAGCTAGAGGCTGCTAGAGGAGGCAAACTGGTAAGTGGCTGTCTGCCACGTCATTGATAGACATGAAGGCCCCTTTTTCTTGGTTCACTTTTCATTGACCTGTACATCCGTCAGAATGCACGCATGCGCCTTTTTGTTGGCGAGGTATCAACAGTGTTGCCACAGCTAACAGTGGACATGATCAATTCAGCCGGTGGTGGCGACCTGCCGTCGCAGCCCTGCTGTGCGACGTTCCGTGGCCAGACCGATCGGCCGCGATAGCATGCAGCTACTGTCAATAACACAGTTTGCTCCATCACAGTAAGTGTCTTACCTCTTACTCGATGGCACTCTTTCGCTCCTATCTTGGTGTTCCCTAACGCTCTCTGCTAGTACGCACATCCTACAAGGGCCAGAAAATGGTGCAGATACAACGACAATCAGGACAAGGCTGCTGTATCAGCCTGGGTGCATCCAACAAGTCTGCTCACCGGCTCGAACTCGCCGCCAATATTACCATTCCGGGTGTTGCCCAATGCTCCGCGGTCAAAGGACCATGAGATGATGCGGCTCCGAGCAATATCGCTCGCATTATTGCAGTGAAATTTTATCTATTGCTCTACTGCACGCCCTTAGCCTATCTGAACGCCCGCAAACTCTCCCTCCTGGCATGCATACCCTCCAATGCCTAGAAAGCGACAATGACACGATAACAACCAGGATATCTTTATCTTTCATCAAGACGATGCTCCAACATGCACCGCCATTGCAACTATCTATGAGATCTCTGGCGACAGCTGCCGTGTCAACCACACAGCACAAGACTGCCCAGCTCCAGGATTGCCATCGAGATTCCCCCATCTAGACTTCACCAATGCTGATCTACCATGGAATCTCGAACACCACGATGAGCCCGACATCCCAGACGAATCTCTTACCCCGCTCTCTCAAGCGACTAAACAGTCCAAGTCGCCTCACAAGAATAAGGGACTTGGTGAGAAAACATTTGCTACTTTGGTAAGGCCAATATTTTGTGTCTGGCCTACTCTCAAATGTTTTCAGGTGCACGATCAGGTCTTGCTCGACTGGGCTCTGCTAAGAGACTTGTTCATGGATGAAGTTCTGCGCCTCGAGAGATGGGCTGGTGCAAAATGGGAATACTGTCCTTCCTATCCAGATGACAAGCATGGGCATCCTGAGTACCGATGCCAGGACTGCATGGGACGCGCGATAGTTTGCAAGAGCTGCTGCTCAACCATGTATGCAAATCAACCTTTCCATCGAATCAAGGTATGTGATGTACTTCATAATGCAAGTCTGGCTGACATATTCCAATGTTGGAATGGACGCTTTTTTGAAAGCATCAGCCTCAAGGACATCGGTTTAGTTGTTCAGCTCGGTCACCAGCCTAGTGAACACTGTTCTGCGCCATCCGCTGCACCTCGAAGTTTCGTTGTCCTTCACACGAATGGCTTCCACCCAGTCAATCTACAATTCTGCCAGTGTAATTGCCTCGAGACAGCTGGCACCTGGGTGCAGCAACTTCTCCGCTATGAGCTGTATCCCGCCACTTTGGACGACCCAACAACTTGCTGTACATTTTGCGCCTTGGAAACCTTCCATCTTCTCACTCTGCAAAGCAAGCTCATGACGTATGATTACTACATCACTCTCACAAAGCTTACGGATTGTGTAGGCATTGGGCAACGCTACGTAAATCTGTCTGTCTGCTTGTAACTTTGTCTCGAAGCTCACTCCTGACAGGATCGCCTCAAATCTTTTCTTCACATGGTGCGAGAATGGCGACATCTTCAGTTGCTCAAACGTGCAGGGCGAGGCCATGATTCCGAAGGAGTGAATGCAACAAGGCCTGGCAAGCTCTGTACTCGCTTTCCGGCATGTCCGCAACCAGGAGTCAACTTACCCGAGAATTGGGATAATGTATCTGATGACCTACGGTAAGTATTCTGTTGCGCATGATCCCTTGCTTCGCTCACATGCCCTAGTTTCATTTATAGCACGTTTGTTGCAATTGACACTAACTTCCGGTTGAAACGACATGCGATCGGAAGTGACTCGCGGGACCCGTCATTGTCGTTGGGGTGGGGTTTCTTTGTCGATGGAAAGGAGTATCGAAGCCACATACTGAAGTATGCAAATCAACAAGATTTGAGTATACCCGCGCGATCCACTGTTGTCCTGAGCTTACATTATCTAATATAGATAAGCACTTGCACCGGGTTTGCCGCAATGATGAACGCCAACAAGTCTTTTAAAGGATATGCAACCACAGGGTGCGTCATAGCTATTGACGCGTGACATGGTTTTGTTCTTCCAAATGGCATAGGTGACTTGCAGAAGGGTGAGAGGTGAGCCTCAGCTGCTAGTCATCTGACAGCAGCTGCTGATTTTGCCGTAGGAACTGTAATGTTGACTTCGTCACTATGTCAGCGCTGGTTCACCTGGCTCGCGGAATGCATTTGGTACTGTCATACAATATCATGTGCCAGTGGTTGCGCCATCTTTTAGAGTGGATTGCTGTCCTACCGGACCATCTGCAGATCGAGCTACCCAAAGAGGAAGTGCGTTATGCAATTCCAAAGTACCATTTCAATGGCCACAAGGAAGAACGCCACAACCAGTTCTCCTTCAACCTCAAGCAGGGAATAGGTCGCACTGACGGCGAGAAAGTCAAACATGAGTGGTCGCGCTTCGATACTGTGGCCAGCAGCACCCAGGAGATGGGACCAGGTTCTCAAGAGGAGACCCTCGAGGACCATATGGAGTATAACAATATGGAGAAATACTTTACGATGGGTACGCCGTCTGTGTTGTCAGTGGGCGCAGTCACTAACTACGCGATAGGAACATCTCTCAATAAGCGAGAGTGTACAGCCGTCGCTGGCTACGTTAAGTTCGACCGCCTGCACCAGACGTTTACCACCGACTTGCAGCCATTGCATGTTGCCAAATGGACAGTGACAATTGTCGTGTATGAGGCTGACGAGTCATTGCCTGACCCCTATTACTAGAAGCCAACAGGTATGTTACACCAGTGAATCGTCCTAGAGTAGACCAACGTTTATGCACAGGTATGAGTGAATCAGAAATCCAGATGGAGCTTTTGCAGCAAGAGGAGGAAGAGGCGAATCAAGGATGCATTCTCCTATACGAGATTACACCTGCGTCGATGCTCTCAACTCTTCTGGATCTAGAAGAACAACAGTAAGTCTGCCCATGTATCTAACAATACTTCAGCGACGCTTATCATATTTCCAGACAGAAGTTCAGGACCAAACATGCTCCTACCGCAAACTGCACTCCATCCCAGATGGCTGAAGTCATTGCAAAACGGGCATCCCTTCACCATCGCATCAACATGATACGCATTGTGCAAGCAATCTACATGCCTTGCGTCCTCTTAAAGCTCGCGCTGCATCGCCAGTCCCTGGCCACGAGCACGAATGCCAACTCATCACGCAGCACTTCATTCGCAAGCAGTCGTACACGCCCCCCTGCCAGTGTTGACATGATAGATCTACTAGAGAGCCAGCCCCTGTTTCTTCTCAGCACCCTCAACCATTCTGAGCTGAATACCTGTGTCACTGGCCTAGCAGACATGGAATCAAAACTCAGAGATGGACAGCTAGCCGACAGCCTCGACAAGCTACGCGTACACCTCCATATCCACTCTTGCCTGGTCGGCTATTGAGATTGGCACGTACAACACCAATGGCCCAGCACTCGAGCACGCACAAAGATCGATCAAAACAAGGTGAAGATTAAGGCGCTGAAGTCCAAATACCAGGCTGCGCGCGCAGCAAAGCTGTTGCTAGTCAGCGGAGGTGCTTGGGAGCAACGATGAAAGGTTCTGCAAGACACGGATGTTACTTCTATACGTGGTGACAACGAGGTCACCAGAGTGGGGATGTCGGAGGGCAAGTTTGTGCTGTCATAGATCTGAATGGGTGCAGACAGTGAAGGGGGTGCAAATGGTATTCAAGGTCTCAACAACGGTGCATGGCTCAAAGTCCTCTCGTGGTCTCCACTGACTCTTTACTTGGTCGGCAGCGCTGCGCGTAGAATTTTTGAAGTCCAGGGTGCGGAAGGAGCGCTATCGGAAAGAAAGTCTCTTTGTTCAAGCTGAGAAGTCACGGACCATTACCACGTTGGAGAATAACGCTATCCAATGGGACAAACAGGAAAGTTGAGCCACCACGCTCAAGACCTGCCTGCTGATTGCGGAGGGTGCTGCCTCGTATGCTGCGAAGCATGCCACCATAGAGCGCAGGCTATCTGCTAAGTTCGGCACATTATGGTGGAAAGCTCAGCACAGGATGATCGTTATTAGGGAGGAAGACGACAGCGCGGAGAAAAGCGGCATCGATGACAATGAGCTATACTTCACCATCACTGCAGACAATTCGGATGCTGAGCTAGACCTCAATAATTCGGATGACGAAGAATAGATTAGATACTTTAATTACATCACTATCACCACACACAATGTAAAATTCATTTCAGACTACACGGAGGAGTGCACGAACGCGAGACCGATGAGATCCAGCGCACTTCATGAAGACTCTGGACTTGATAAATTTTGTTTGAGATGGGTCACGTGATCTGGCGTTAAAAGCTTGGCTAAATAACTACAATAATATGGTGAGAGGAAGCTGCAACTGTACACAATTTATTGATATCTACTTGATACAGAATAAATGGAATGCAGGATCCACAAGCAAAGTGTAGGAAATATAATCTAATTTACTGTGAAATCTATGTGATTTATTCTATGGGCACTCTGAAAAGCTTAGAGAGGAATACTACCCAGTGTGCAAGGTCACACATACAAGTTATGTTTGAAAGGCGATACATAAGATCAGCTCAAGGCGCGGAATGCAGAGTGAAGCAAGTGACCTGGCGGTCAATGGTGGTTGACCGAGAGAAACAGGCACTGTGCAACAAGCTGCCATCCGTTCGTGGTTATTTTGCATTATGGAGTGTTTGATAGACTATTAGTTAACCTTACGGCTGTTCTATGTGTCCATGTGCGCTATTAGGCTGTGCGGAGCCAACAGAAAAACAGGCATTTATGCAGTGCATGACATTTTGATGGCGTTACCGTATTTGGATGGCAGCCTAGTGGTGTTTCAGCTTGGGCGGACTCTTTATGGCCGTCCTTGCAAGTGTGTAGGGCATTGAACAACAAGCTATGGTGTACATATACGTAAGAAGAAGCTAAAACAAGTATTTCCAAGTTTGTAAAAGGCTACATGCAGTGTAGCAAGTACTGATGCAGGCCAAACGCTGCAAAGCCATGGTCAGCATTGATGGTGCTGCCTTTTACAGCCTTCCTAAGATCCCCGGCATACGCCAGGAGAGCTGATTTTGTGGTATAAGCCATTTTCCATATATTTCATGGCTGAGTTTCAATTCCAAACGCTAATAGCTGGTGCATGAGCGCCTCCTCTTTCAGCTTGCATAGATGATGCATTAACCATGCTGAAAAGGCCCTTTGCCCTGTGTTGATGCATCACACATGGTGAACTCCCCCAACCATTGATTCATGAAACCTAAGCCATCGGCTCTCCTATGTGGCATTTTCACCAGATAGTACGATGATCCTTGCAGCAACAAAGGAAGATTGTGGTAAAGTGACGCTCTGGAACGCTGCCTCTGGGTCCTTGCGTGCCCGGCTTGAAGGCACGCTGTCCGTCGCAGATTGGTTCCCTTATCTCGGGGAAACGTTCATATGGAGCAGTGTCTTGGGCTACATGCTGCACTGCTTTGGCTGCCAGTCCTCGTCAATCATGTTCTCGCCGGACAGTCGATACTTGCTCACAGGGACTATTACCAGGGCCAGAAACTCCCAAGAGCATCCTGCCTGTCTGTGGGATGCCGCGACGGGCAAATTGGTTCGCAAGTTTTTGAACATAGTGACCGCATTCACTACATCGCCTTCTCTCTCGACGAGAGACGCATCTTGACAAGCTCCGATGACAGGACTACCATTGTTTAGGACTTCAAAAGCGGAGTGTCTCTGGCGACCATGAGAGGGCACATAGCGGGGGTGCGCTCAGTCGCTTTCTCTTTGAGTGGTGAACACATCGCATCAGGAGGAGCTGATCATTGTGTTCTGGTGTGGAGCTCAGAGGAAGGAGAACTGCTCCAGTCGCTCGAGGGGCATATGGGCACAGTATAGTCGGTCGCCTTCACCCCGAGTGAAGACGTCATAATCTCCTCATCAGACAATAAGACCATGCGACTTTGGAACGTCAAGACAAGAACTTGTCTCCTGGCACTAGACGCATTCACACAGTTCAGTTACAAATGTTTCACTGCATATGGAGCAAGTCAATATGACAATGTTACAACTAGCATGAGTTATCCAAATGCTGGCCAGATGTTTAATTTGTAAGCCTGGCCAGCATTTATATATATATCTGTTAGCTAGGCTAATGCCTATGTAAATGAGCTGGTTCTGACAGGCATTTAAATATATATTTTAGCCAGGCCAATATTTGTATACACTTGCTAAGCTTAGTTAGCATTTACATACATGTATTAGCTTGAAAGTGTATATATCAAACTA